AGACACCCTTGTGGATATACTGCACCAATGGAATAATATGGTTGATGTGATGTGATAAGATGCGCTTCGCATCAAGCTTCCTTGTGCGTATTGCTAAGGAGTGGAATTCTCTGCCAGAGTCTATATTTCCTGAAGGGTACCTGGGTGTCTTCAAGGCCCGAGTGAATAGGTTGCTTTTGCTTGGTGCATCGCCATCGTAGACCGAATCATCACTTACCACCAGGCGAGATAGTGGTCAAACGTCGGCACTTCAAAAATATATATAAAAGTGAATGAACGTAAGAAAAAATTCGTTTATATTTAATCTAATTTTTATTGTAAAAGAGGTAATTTCTTGTTCCAATACCCACTTACATCTATTAAACCTTTACCTGTCTGTTTGCCTTTACCTGTAAGTAATCATCAGAGTTATAGCCATTCAAGAAAATTATACAAATATAAGAAAATTCTATGACCGAACACCATCGTTAAACACGATACCACCGTTAAGGACTAACAAAGTTAAGACCGAATCAACCCCATTAACACAACAGTCATATTTACAACATCCAACATCAAAGAAGGAATCTTTCACAAAGAACCGAAGGAAATAATAAAGCAAAAAGCCATTAACATTTTCACTCAATACAAATTTCCAAATTTCACAACACTAGCACTGGCATATCTGTCTTTGTTATCTCCCCTTTTAATTATAGGAACCCTTAAAATTATTATAAATAGAATTATATCCCGGCGTCGACAATCATCCAATTAATTTCAATGACAACACATTTTGACAGATTCATTTTATTTAAACTGATTGAACTGTCAAGTTTTGTGATTTAGTAGATTTCAAGTTTTGAGTTGTAGTGGGATAATTGATGGTTGAGTCCATTTTGTTTGTTGTTGTTTGGCTGTTTTAGTCTTTATTGCAATATGCATGAGGCATAATTTTGTCTGTAGTTTGATTTGTGTTACACGTGTAAATTTTTAGGGCAGACTATCGATCTACTGAGTAGTTTTAGGAAGGTGTATTAAATTTATTATTTATTTATTAATAATAAAGGTACATGGTATGCCTTATAATCTAACGCCATGTCCAAAAGAACTATATATAAATGATTTTATTCCTTCTATCCGACCCAACCATGATACAATTTACACAACTGCTTTTTATTAAGGATTCACTACCGAACCTTTGAAGCCTTATTGCTAGTTATAAGCCTCCCTAAAGTCCATACTAGCACATCTCTGAGCTCAACCTTCAGTCCTTTCAATCCAAGTACCTAATAAACACAGCATTAACACAATACACCGAAAATATTTACCAAATAATTTCCAAGTTTCTGTACCTAATAAGAAAATATTCCTGTATAATTTCGGTGACAAAACAAACATCATGAAATAATATCTTAGTTAAAGTAGACGCTTTTAAGCTTTGAAAAATGATATCCAGACGGTCTGGGTGATCAAGCGAGACATTGAGTGTCGGCTCGTTTCACTGAGATGGACGAAACAACTTAATTTAGACGAAAATATCACATTTTCTTCTTATTATTATATTTGCAAAGAAAATATTGTTTGAGAACTGTCGTTAAGACGTCTTTTATTTGATTAAATTAACACTCGGCTTAGTATACTCTAGGCTTTGCTATATTAGTGATAATTTTCAATATGTCATGTCATATGAATATAACTTCATACATAACCTCACGCCTGTCTCCCATGGGGGTAGGCAGACACTATTGAACGCCAATTGCTACGATTCTTACATACTTTTTTCGCTTCATAAACAGTCATCGGTCTTATATGCATGCTCGTCGGTAAAGGATACTTTTAATTACGAACATCATTCTTTCACTTTTTTGTATGGACAGAAAACCAACAAACGACCTTCCGTACTAAGAGGGAGGGAGTATCAGGCTCTTACTGACTAAAAAGCCTCTTTCATAGTCTCTCTCTAAAAAGGAAGCAGTATATGAGTAACCCGGAACTTTGACCGAATGTTATACCATCCTTATCTGAGGGCTCAAGACAACATTATTCTTGGTGGTTAAACTTTGTCATAACCAATCACGAAATTGCTTCGCTGTCCGAAATTCCGGTATACTAGTTCATTGAGTAAAAGAAATTGAAACTGATAAGCATACTAAATCTCCCAATTACAAGACCAATGAGGCGGAAAATACATAGTCCACGTCAAAATATCCGCTATAACTAGAATTAGATCAGGTGTTAACCGGATCAGCGGGGAATGGTAAGCCGACTACGAGGGAGGACATGAAGCCTTAGCAAGCACTGCAAGTCGATGGAAATATCAGTGTATTGTGTGTATATTACGGAGCAAAATATATCTTTATAATGTTGCAGTATTCCCACGACTATGTAACTAGGAACCCAAAAAGGAAGAAAGATACGAAAAAAAAGTGATTTGGCAATTGGCACATAGAAGGCGTCTAATTTAGAATGGAATAAAATCTATCAGGCCAAGTAGTCGTTCAATTAAATTATGTCCTTACACAGAATCGCACTGAAGCAAAGGTTTTGGCTAGATTCTTTTTTATGAGATAAGCTGGTAAAGGAGCAGACGGATTACATGATGGTAAGCAATCGGTGCCGCCCATGAACAACTGAAACACCAGAGGCGTAACAAGTACGTGCGCACCGGTCTTGGGGATTAGGATTTTGAGGATTGTTGGACCTTCAGGGATTGGGGAGATAGGGGAGGGGGATAATTGGCCCTCCGGTAACCTCACTCACATGACGAAACATAACGCAAGCGCTGTTTCACGTAGCTTTTCTTTAGGCCGTTGTATCATTCTGGTCAAGCCAGCCCGAAGCATGACTCTTTCGCACTTTAATAGATGTTCTATGTTCATTGACATTAATAAATCTAATAATAATAATAAGAATGGTTTCTAGGTTTGTGTAGATTACCGTGTGTTACCTAAATGACAAAGTGTGGGAGAGCCATGCTTCGACATGAATGGGCCGGCTCGACCGGAGTGATACCACGGCCTCACAGAAGACAGACGTGAAACAACGTTGTGTTAACGCCTCTGGCGTTCCAGGTGTCCGTGGGCGACGTCGATTGCTTACCATCAGGTGATCCGTCTGCTCGTTTACCGGCTTATCCGCTAAAAAAATGACAAAAAATTTGATTAAAATAAATATACCTGGTTTCCATATTCAATTTTTTTCCAGCCGTATTTTCCGATATGAAGAACTCGCTTTATTTTCTGATTTACTTCGTAGGTTTCAGGACACAGCAATTAAAGCTCTTTTTTGCTGTAAGTGACTCAAGGATGGATTTCATGAAAATTATTTTCCAGAAAGACTTTGTTATTTATAGCTAGCTCTTTGTAAGAACTACGGTTTTTGTAAAAGCAATCAAATTTTTTCGTGTTCTATTATTACTTTTGCAAAGATAGTATTACTTTTCCTTTTATAGAAGTTGATTGCTTTTTTGTTGCCAAAGCCTTAGAAAAAACGAAAAGGCATTGAGTAATCCTTCTATAACAAGACTTTAATCTATTCTTATAACCCCTTTATCTGTTCAAAAACAAGCATAATTATATTCGAAAATTAGTTATCCTTAAGATTAAAACCCAAAATAAATCCGAGACGAAATGTCCTAAGATTATGACGTCTATTGTCTTCGGAGACAATTCATCAAGACACCGCGTTTAAATGCGTCGGTTACGAACGGTGCGACGAAGCAATGTAGGGAAATTGATCCTTTCACGTTGTGTAGCTCAGGAATTAAAACAATGGTTGCAATTTGAGTACTAAAGAAATAAATTAATTATTTATGTATGTATAATCAATATAATCATTTATTCCAATAAAAACTTAAATAAAATTATTACTAACTAGCTATTACTAATTAAACATATACAGCTTAAGATAAAAATTAATTAAAATAAAACTAAAAACAACTATTTACATAAAGCATCGAATAATTCGTCCAAAAAATAAAAAATAACTTAGTTTATTTAAAATATTTTGTATTTGGAATTATATGAAAGTGCATATGAAAATCTATGTTAATAAAATGTTGAATAGTATGAAAATCTATGTTAATATTGGTATATAATAATTGCATATTAGTTGGACTTGTACAGTTCTGAGTAATTTACATTAAATAACGTTTCAACTCTAATCTAATCAGTAAAATCCACCTCGATACCTTCACACCTATCTATCCCAAAAATAAAATAAAATGTTTTGCAAATCAACACATTTTTAAAGATTGATTAGTTTCCTATTTTTAGATTTCTAAGTAGGTAGGTATAACTCGTAAAATAAAATTTGAGTACGCAATTTAAAAAGTAGTAAAAGTAGCAATTGGAACCAAATCAAAGTCATTACCAAAGTACTAGTTACCTAAATTAGGCAATTTGAATTCATTGCCTTCCTTTCAAAAATCACTTTCCGTTCGAATAAGAAGCTCATTAAAAACTTCGGGAGCTCGAAAATACGTTTAATGGACTGAACACTTGGATGAACGATCAGCCATGACGATTTGTACAAATATTTCGGTTTAGAGAGTTTGACTTTCAAATATTCTTTCCTAGATATTATGAACAATTTATTAAATGCATGCTGAACTAAAAAAGGCCGGTAACGTATGTACTTGCAACGCTTCTGGTTTGTGAGTGCCCATAGGCGGCGCTGATTGCATGCCATCAGATTATCCGACAGCAGTTTAAGGGTTTATCTCTTTAAAAAAAATTATATCTAGTCTAGCAACTCTAAAGAGGTCTCTCTCTGGTCAACACTGTCTATAAAGATGCGTCCACATTTGACGAATGCGCTACGAATGCTCCACTCGCGAGCTGCCAACGAGCTCCATATTTGCGGAGCATTAGGCAGATGTGGACGCACCCTGACACCGTCTAATAGAAACCATAAAAATTCGTCTATATGAAAGCAAAATATTGAATTGATTTTAAATTGAATTTAACAAAAGTAAAGAGAAGTCAGTCGCTATAATACTAAAACACATTTTTTTGTTACAGAATGAATGTTTACATGCAGCAGTGACAGCTCTAACGAAAAATCAAGCGGAACACTATGACAAATATCATTGTTTGTAAGTATTATGTTGTAGATAAATTATTATATTTACACGTAGAAATACACTAGGGTGTCTACACAAGCGCCAAAACCTCTTTAGTAATTTAATGTAGCCATTTTTGCTTTCCCTAGAGGGCGCTTATGTCGAATAAAGTCCTGTGCGTAAAACAGCAAAAATGTTGTCATAAGACAATTGCAGTAATACAATATAATAAAATAAAATAAATAAAAGTTGTATCTAGACATACTGGTATACTTAAGTTTACTTCATAAGCGTTAATCCTACAATTATGTAAACTTAACGAGACTATGGTTCAGGTAAATGGCCGACAGGGTGTCCCTGAAGTCGATGATCAAATGGCACCAGGTGATCAAAGTCAAAGCATTTATTTCAATTAACCCATAATTTGATACTTTTGAAACGTCAACGAATATAAAATAAATAATAGTGTGTCAGTCAGACCGTCAGTGAAGCTAGGTGAAGCTAGGTGCTCAGATCTGCAAGGTTCCAACTTATCAGAAAAACATAGCTAAAATTCCAAGTCAAATACTTTTTATAAGACCAATGCCTGAATACTGAAACGCTACTCAAATTTAAGTCGCGGTTAAGTATAGTTCTGTCACTACAAATTCTTTGTAAAATGACAGAGATGACACGATATTTAAGTACCATTTAAAATTGAGTAATCTTTTAGTATTTGGATGTAACACAGGGTGTACTTTTTCGTGGATAACACATAAGTCATTGTTATTTAAAAACTGTATGACTTGAAATTTTTTCAAAATTTTCTCATAACTGTTGGAGTCTTCCCGATCGCCAGGTGCCATGTAATTGTCGACTTCAGGGACACCCTGTATATGTTATTTATATACTTAATTGCATATTTGTTTTAGATACATTATTTTGAATCAACTATGATAACCCTCAGTTTCCATACACAATAGGTACATTTTTCTAATTATAAAGTTTTCTTTAGTCAACATGGGATCGACAACCAAATTGGCAAAAACTTCGTTTTACGTTTTTATACATTACTAAAACGCAAAAAGTTAAATTTGTTTTGAAAGCTACAACACTATCCAATTATATTATTTTTGGTGAAGCTCAAAGCAAAAGCTTCGCTTGAAGCATCATATTTTTAATTAAAGTTATTCATTTTTATGACGTAATAGTAATCAAATTCAGTCATGTATAAATTAGAAAAGCACCATAAATAATATTACAAGTTATATTATTATAGATATAGCCTTACAAGAGGTCAACATAGATAATTTAATTATTATTGATGTAACCTCAAAAGAGGTCAAGATAGATATTTTAACTGACCTTTCAATTTATGCTTCATATATTTTACATACATTTTACTACTTAATACTCGCTATCCTAGTCCACATAAAATGCCACATCTTGTATCAAGAAACTAAAATTTTATTAAATTTTGGTCCCAAATAGGGTCGACTTCCAGCCCAATCCAATATGGTTAACAATATCGAGGTTTTTTATGCGGATCTACACAAGTAAAACAAGAGAAAAACTTAAGTGAGTAATATTGTGATTCTTATATAAAAAAAGGGTGGAAGGGATATAACGTAAATTAACTTCTTGTCTGTCAATCTATCTGTCTAGCGTAGATCTACGCTCCGACATATCAGGGGTTAAACATTAAATATAATTCATATAAATAATGATTGTAAATTAATTATTATATTATTCAGCTTACTCACGTAACTGTTTGACCGTAACGAGGAACTCGACTAGTTTGCTCATGAATATGACCCTTTTTTTAAGGGGGAATATCATTCAATGTTTGTCAGACTCTTACTGACTACAATCCACCCCGTTCCTACTCCTGCACTTCGAACCGGAGCCCTGGCACTCCCTTCCGCCTCACCCAGGCGGGAGCAGTAATTCGATGATTTTCCCTCCTTAAAAAAAGTATGGCTTGAAACTAGTCGAGTTCTTTTTAGACCAGTTACGTGACTAAGCTAAAAATTATAATAATTAATTTAGTATGTCTCACGATAATTATAGCATAAAGTTTCTTAGAAATAGCGGTGCACACGAATATTTTACTTGATTTAGGACGATTATACAAAAACTCTTTATTTAAATTTGACACTCAAAATCTCTTCCACCCAGTAAATACTTGTATTGTGTGTAAAAATCACGAGAGCTTGAATCACCATATTTATCACAAAACATCGTTGTTGGCACTGCTTTAGCACAAACTACTTCACAAAATTAAAATTGCCTTAAAAGTTGGCTTCGTATGGAAATAGCTAAATGTAAGATAGGTTTTGACCTAATTTGTGTAGATCCTTAGTTTGGTTGAGGTTTTAAGCTCTTAATCCGTAATATTACAACATCAACATCAACAGCCTATAAGTGGCCACTGCCAACCAAAGGTCTCTTCTCACACGGAAGAGGTTTGAGCACTAATCACCACTCTTGCTCAATACGGGTTGGCAATTTCAAACTTATACTTAGAAATTATAAGCTTAGGTTGCCACACTATGTTTTCCATCACCGTTTGTCAGTGGTGTCTAAATAATCTTAGAATGTACATACAACTCGGAAAAAGTCGCATTGGTACTTGCTGTTGGTAGGTTTCGAATTCATTTACCCTCATGCATGAGAAGCGGGCGTGTTAAACCTCTGGCCCACCACAACCTTTATTTTAAAACCTATTTTAATCGTATAAATAAATTAAAAATTCTACGCTGTTATTGACGAGGCACAAATTGCTCATGCGATAATTATTAAGTCAAATATGTGTTACAAACTGTGGATTCTCTGTTCTCTCACTTACGTAATTCAATACCAACCCCAAATAGACCAGAAAAAAAGTAGATTGGAAGACTGCACACTCTTTCAAAACCCAGATTTCTAAATTTGGTTTACTTAAAGCATTGGTAGAATGACGTTTATTCTCGACAACCTTTTTCGCTGGTATATATAAAAACCAAGTTCAAAAAGCCTTCTCTAATTCGAATTAATCCAATAATAAAAAGGTTGTAAATGAAAGTTAATCGATTACTAAAAGTAACCAACACTCAATTGCTACAAACAACAACAATATAACCGTTCAAAGCCACCATACACACCATTATACTCCAACCCACAATTACATAAAGATCATTTTCCCATGCCACCCCCTTAATGATCAAACACATTACGCCTAAATGTATGTAAATATAAACCGTATCAAAATAGAATACACCCACATTCCTTAAGTAGTACTTGCTAATTATTTTCCACTTGCAAAATCATATTTAATTACGAAGACCATTTAAATTGGTCGGGTAATACGCTTAGAGTATTAGGGTAAATTATATGTTTGTTTGTTTGTTCTTTGTTTTAGATACATGGCTTTTAGCTTTGATTGAAATCGTGTAGGATTGGAGCGTTTTTGTGGCTTCTTAGACTAACTTTTAGAGTTCATTTTTGGTCGTAATTGAATCCAAATAATGCTTCAAGGTCAGAATTATGAGAAGAAGTCTCCACAGTAAATAAGATCGTACTATATTTTTTATCAAAGTATAGATACTAAGTATAGGGTAGATGACTAATTTTTATTTCAATGTCAGTCGGGTAGATTATTTTAAATAATTAGACACGTATTTTTTATTTTTTTACAGAAATGAATACTTTCGATGATATATTGATTTGAAATGTCGCGTGACGTCACTTCTATGTACATTTTATATTGTGTGTAGAAATGACGTTTTAGCCGCCACTCCTAAACTTTAATTCGTTATATCTAAGTATCATTTTATTATACAACAAAATAATAAAATATGTGTCTAATATTTTATCATTACCCAACTTACGGACTAATTAGATTTTTAATTTTCATACACTGACATCATCCCAATTATGTATTTTGATAAAATTGCATATTTGCCAGTCCTAAGACTGTACACGTGGAGAAAATTGTAAGTCCATAATATTGCCACATTTAAATTAAAGTATAACAAATAACAAAAATAATTTGTATCCTATAATTAGAAGCATAAGGTATAAAATAGAATAAAGGCTGTTTCTCAAAGTAAAGAAGAATAAATAAATAAAAGCTGACGCCTCAACAAAACACGTGTGTTCCCCAAACGAGAACAGACACATTCTGCACGCTTACATCAATACACTTTAAGGAAAACAAAACAATTCGAAGCGTAATTCGTAACAAACAAAGCATAAAACAAAATAGAAACATTTCCTTTTTATTGTTATTACCCATTTCATTGTTAATGAACCTAAAAATATAAAAACGTTTTGTTCACAGACGAAGACTTCCCGACGACGTAAAAACTTGTAGGAATTACGCGTACTTGCAGGAAATTTACGACGCGGTACGGGCTACAGACAGTAAGTATCTATTCATCACTATCATAAATAATGGAGTCATTAATTTAGTACACAAACAGAACACGTTATTGGAAACAACGAAAATATATACTGATGGAATAGGCATCACAACATTTGAAAGCAACCTAATTTATGTTATGGCTAATGGGAATTGTAATCTGTTAGTTCTGAGTATTTCGTTTGTAACTGTGTTTTTACTTTTATGGTTTAATTTGTGTCATTATTGTTATTATGGAATAGTGTAATAGAAGTCCACACCAAAGAACTATAAGCATAGGCAGTATACGTGACAATGAACAACTTAAGTAATATATGTATATCATGTCTCACTAAAGTTACAAAAACATGTCACTAGAATTACGATTTATAAAATCAGTAAATTATATTCTAAACTAGTTGTTGCTCGCTTTTTGGTCCGCGTAGATTATTTTCCCAAAATAAAAGTATAGGATACTTTTGTTACTCCTTAGTACATTTGCTACCTGCCAATAAAAGTACCGTCAAAACAGGTCTAGCTTTTCCAGAGATTAGCCAGTACAAACAGACAGACAGACACAAATTTAAAAGGGTGTCATTTTGTTATATGCATCGTATCTATATTAACATTTATGAAGTAAATAGAGATGGTTTTTACATATTTGACTGCCTCATTGGCCGAGTGGTCGCAACCGCGACTGCCAGGCAAGTGGTCTCGATTCGATTCGATTCCCGGGTAGGGCAAAGTATTGCTGGGTTTTTTAAAATCTCAGTAGCACTAGTAGCACAGAGTCTGGAATTGTGCCCGGTATATGGCAATAGGCGCACCCCCTATTACATGGGACTCATAACATGCCATAATGTGCACCTCTGGCTACCCCTTCGGGGATAAAAAGCGTGATGATATGTATGCTGTGCATGTTATTATTTGAACATCAATCACAATAAAGATCTACAGCCTATTATATAGATTTTCCACGAGTGATATATGATCTGTCAAATATATAAGTACAATATTTCATATAGGTATGATTCCTCTCTCAACTGTAAGTACTTGAACGGAAACTTTGCTGAACTAAATGTTATGTCTTACTCCAAGTCCTTTGTTTTCATAAATTGATTCAAAAATTATAGATTTTCCAAAATAATTTCCATCTCATTTCCTATACATGTCGAATTGTTGACATAGTACACACAAAATCAATATTGTTAGTTTATTGTAGTTTCCGAACATAACTTAAGTTTCTAATTGTTGTCACATGTGGCGCTAGTGCATTCTGACCGTTTTTTGTATCTTTACCGGCTAATAAACGTATTGTTGTTCGTCGTGGTGGCCCGGAGGTTTAAGACGTCCACTTCTCATGCATGAGGGTGCGGGTTCGAAACCTACCAACGGCAAGTACCAATGTGACTTTTTCCGAGTTATATGTACTTTCTAAGATTATTTAGACACCACTGACAAACGGTGAAGGAAAAACATCGTGAGGAAACCTGGACTTATAATTTCTAATTATAAGTTTGAAATCGCCAACCCGCATTGAGCAAGCGTGGTGATTAATGCTCAAACCTTCTCCGTGTGAGAAGAGGCTTTGCTCAGCAGTGGGCATTTATAGGCTGTTGATGATGATGATGATGAAACGTATTGTTAAACTTTCATCTCGTTTGTTATTATTCAACATGAATGATGTGGAAAGTTTACTAGGGACACATTTTCTTAAAGTGGACATGAGTGTATTCTGATATACCTGAACCTGTAAAACTGCGACCTCGGCGTGGAGATCAGTGTCAACTTACACGCTCATTGTGCAAGTTTTTTTTTTATTTTCAACCGTAAACTATTGAACAGTACAGCAAATTCACATCAACAGCTTATAAGAGGCAACTGCTGACCACATGTCTCTTCTCACACGGATATGGTATAGGCATTAATCATCAGGCTTCCTCAATTCGGGTAGGCGATTTCAAACTTATAATTTTAAAATTATAAGCCCAGGTTTCCTGAAAATGTTTCACAATTCACATTGGTACTTGCTGTTGCTAGGTTTCGAACCGACACCCTCGTGCATGAGAAGCGGGCGTCTTAAACCCCCGGGCTACCATGACATTTTTACCCTCACTTGTCTGATATTTAAAAAGTTCTCATCGACAAATAGTAACACTTAAATGCCACTTAATACTTCACATTCATTCACTTAACGTAAGAAGTTGTGTAATTTTGGGGATACAAGTTCCTAAAATGGTTGTCTCATTAATTTAATTTTATCATTTGCGAAAGTTTTCCAACTGTCATCAAGTCGTGTAACTTGTCGTAGTCTGTCATTATCTAATTTTGTGTGAAAGTTCTATTAAACTGTCAAACACCAAGCGGTCACCGGTGACCGCGACCTATTGTTCTTTAATTGTGTCTATAAAACCGGTACTCGACGAGTTAATAAAGGTTGAAACAATGTTTTCTTGACGTCCTGGGGTAAAACAGCGCTGTCTCTTGTATGATACAAATGACAGCGGTGGTTTTAATAAATCTCAATGTTACAACAATTAATTATCTATCTCGAACGTACTTTAAGATACGACTGTTGAGACAGAGATCTCAAGTTCTATTTTTAATGAGACAAAGATATATATCATTGTTTTTTCTAGAGACTTCAAATCTGTTTAACAAGTTTTCGAGGTACATTGGATCCGGCCAATCAGAGCGCCACGGTCTCATTTCGATTATAAAAAAAAACTTGTACTACGCCCTCTGTTTTTTTTTTAAACATGTCAGTTCTAACACGTAGTTTGAACTCGAACATGAAGTATGGTAATACTGGTGAATATTGATTATTTCAAATACACCACTGTCTAATCCTTCGCGGCAAAAATGTAGTACTATGATCTTATTATCTTATACGTAAAGATTAAATTTCTTGTATCAATTTATCATTCCCTTACACACCACAATTTTAATTCACCAAACAATCAATACCGCATTTAATTTTTACTACATGCATATGAATATACATACAATACCTACATACAACCAAAATAGAAATTTTAATATTTGGTCTGTCTGTACTGGCTAATCTCTGAATTAGCTGGGCCGATTTTGACGGGAGTTTTATTGGCAGGTAGCTAATACACTAAAAAGTAACATAGGCTACTTTAATTTGAGAAAATCGTAGATGAAGTTGCGAGTTCACCTAGTAATCCATAAACACAACCAATCACAAACGCAAATGAAACTGAAACACCAAAAACTCGTGTTAGTAACATAAGCGTTCGATTTTCAAAACGACGGCGCGTTCATTCATTGGCCGGTACATTTGAATGCTTTGTTTCAAAGCTAACAGATGTCATCGTACCATCGCTTTGAAGTAACATCGTGTCAACATGAAACCGAGATTCAGAGTGCGACGCAAATGACTGACATCTGACGACTGACTGACATGGCGCGACGTGTGGTGTTTCATCGTATTTTTTTTCGGAATAGTCTGTTTACTGTCTTTTTTTGGTACTGTTATCGTTATCCTCATAAGCAACGAGTGCAGTATACTCTACATCAACCTCTGTGGTTCGAAACTTGGTAGAGATTTTCTCAGTATATTCACGTGAGTAACCCGCGGTTTTTAGTTAATTTAGTATGTCCCACGATAGTTATTGCATGAAGCGTTCAAAAGTTTTCTGACTTAACACTAAAGTTTACCATATTGCATAAGATACTTTGTACAGGTGTTAACAAAACTAGGTTAAAAATTCTTCTAGGTTCTCTTAATCTTCTTTTAATTTTTAACCCAGAAGAAGATAGTTTAGAAGTAGTAACTTAAATCCTTAAACTTAAACGTTAATCCTATCCTTAATAAAAAGATTTAGAATTATAATGCAGCTTTATCTATCGTGTAAAGAACTTGTATGTAATTATAGTTCGATAGATATAATGCCACCGATAGATAATACAAATTGTAATCATGTTATCGCAGAATTGATCAATTATAGTTTCATGTAACAAGCTGAATTAAGCGCCGCGTTTAATAATCTAATATCTATGCATTAATATCGTAAATTGTGTAGTAATATTACCGACACATTCGTTTGTGAACTGTTCATAGTAATATCCATTGCAATTTAGGATTATTAAATCTGTAGCTACTCTATGCAAGGATATGGATACAATGCAATAAAAAACGGTGACGTCATCACTCGAAATCTGAATCAAGATTCATAAGAAACCTATCGTTGTTGTCGAATCTATTTCATTCATCTTTAGAAAACTCACATTTATGGTTTGCCTTTACGTCTCTTTTTCCCTTGATTACTTATTTTATAGACCCAGCTTACAGACTATTAAGCTTCTTCACACTTCTTCGTATCTCCAAAATGAAAATGACATACATTAATGAAATCCTTCTAAGTATGAACTCGTACATAAAACTGCGATGCGACGTCGCATCTTAAATATGTGCGAGCTCCCTCTACGCATCGCAAGAATTTGCGAATTGATTCGCATCGCGCATCAAAATCTTATCTTCCCAAAATCTTCTTTGTTTATTTTTCTGTATCTCCTAAGCAATAACAGAAGCTTACACTTCTTTTTACAATCCATGTCACGACCTCGTTTTAAAATTAAAATACGTTTAGTACGGTTGACGGTCGTCGAAGGAATGGTCACCCTGGGAGACGCCTTGTCGCACGAAATTGCGTCACAAAAATTCGCATCGTAATTTTATAAGGTACCATGGGTGCAAAGTGTAAGGTACCAAGGTGCTAATTCGCATCGCATCACATCGCAGTTTACGTGTGTACGAGCTCTAAAAAATATGCACGAAAGCAAGGAATACGTATTTCTTTGAAAGTAAAAAGGCGGCTAAAAAACAATTGATGTGTGAATAATAGTAATTTCCGATGCACTGTCAAAATACAGTATTTGTCAACTTATAAAGGAAGTTAATTTAAATTATGTACGAGCGAGTAACATTCATTTAAATTACGCTTCAGACGGTACCTTATAAAGTTACAAACGATTTTGTGTTCAAACGAAAGCTTGTCATGAAAAATATATTTTGTGAAAATTGTTTTGGGTGTTTTCTGTTCAGTCTTATTACTTGAACAATACAAAATTAAAAAAAAAAACAAGCTTTTATTTCTAAACATTTTTGGTCATACAAACTAAACGTGTATACGAAATTACAGGTCAGGTTGAAGATATCTGCTAAAAAATTTAGTTACACTCACACACATACATTCATACATATACTGCAAGTTAAATAAGAGTTTGTAAATAGTATCTCCATGCTCTATGCCAATCCACTGGGATTAAAATCGCCGTTTAAGAGATTAAGAAAGAAAGTAAGAAAAAGAAAGAAAACTGTTTACGAAACGAACGTTCAGTTTTTTAGAGACCGCTGCTGATGTCCGGTCTCTGTCAAATGTGTAAACCTTAGGTTGTCTTTATTTGGGTTTCTACTTTATCATCACACTTGAAATGAGTATAGTTTCTCTAGAATGTGGTCAAGACAGCAAAGCATTTTTAATCAACCTTTATCTTGATTTTCTCTTACAAAAAATTTTAATGGCTCCATAAAGTCCATTCCATTTTAACCTTTAAGCCTTGAGACATTTATAATCTTGTCTAGACTATTATTTTCCTTTATCATTCCACAAGTTTTAATGCGAACATTGCCATATTTAAGTTGTTAGATGAGCGCCATTAAAATCTATATTAACGTTTCAAAAGGTCTTAAAACGCATACATCAACCATCGTTCACAATTTATTATAAACCATATTATAACTTAATAAAGTTTCTATTGCTTGTTGCAGGTGTTAGCACTAAGGATTTTATGGCAAAATTAGGAGAATATTTAATTTTAACAGCATTTTCACATAACTGTCGACTGGAGAGAGCGTTTAAATGTTTAGGCACCAATTTGACTGAATTTCTCACTACTTTAGACAGCGTGCACGATGTTTTACATGATCAGGTAAGTGCAATCTAATGTAGCAGTTTGACGGCTTCACTGCAATATTGAATAAAATTTCCTTCACAATTTCATGATGAAAGATCCTATAATCTTACTATACCAGAAATAGAATGAGCTTCAGTAAATAGTTGTAATTATTGTTGTTAAATGTTATGGAAATACATTTATTTGAATTTGATTTGGATTTCAAGGTCACAAATAATGCAGTGGCGTCTTCAAATTATTTTAAACACACAAAAATGTTACATAATAAAACATATTTAAGATGATTTAATAAATATTTTCGAAGATGGCGTCCAATAATTCATACAAAGAGAACACAAATCAATTCACACATCTCATAGATAACTCTGTAGTGTGAATTGATTTGTGTAAAACACAAACATTTAATAAATTTATCCACACCCTACTTAAAATGCAAGAACATAAATTTTTTTTATGGCATAAGCCGGTAAACGAGCGGACGGATCACCTGATGGTAAGCAATCGGCGTCACCCATGGATACCTGGAACACCAGAGGCGTTACAAGTGCATTACCGGCCTTTTGGGGATTAGGTGTTTGAGGATCGTCGGGTATTCCGGAATTGGGGAGATTGGGGAAGGTCTAAACTGAATGGATGAATTCTAAACAAAATTGATTAACAACCTTTTTTATCAACAGGATGATGCCCTAAAAGACGAAACAGTGGAGTATGAAGCAAATTTCGTTTGTACCACGTCACAGGAGGGAAAGATTGAGCTTCATTTAACGACAGAGAGCGAACCTGTCGCCTACCTTCTTGTTGGCAGCTTAAAATCAATAGCAAGGCTGTTATATGACACACAAACGGACATAAGACTGACGAGTTATACTAACGATCCTAGAAGATTTAAGTAAGTAGATTTTTTAACATAGATAATAAAAATCGCGGGTTACTTACGTGCCTCTGCCTCGTTGGCCGATTGGTCGCAAGCGCGACTGCCGGGCAAGGGGTGTCGGGTTCGATTCCCGGGTCCGGCAAAGTATTACTGGGTTTTTAAAAAAATCTCAGTAGTAGCACGGAGTCTGGAAATGGGCCCGGTATATGGCAATAGGCTCACCCCCTATTACATGGGACTCATAGCATAAATAGTGAAAAGTGGGTGTTACATTGTACAGTGGCATAATGTGCACCTCTGCCTACCCCTTCGGGGATAAAAGACGTGATGTTATGTTATGTTATGTTACTTACGTGAATAAACTGAGAAAAGCTCTACTGGTTTCGAGCCACAAAGGGGCTCTTGCTCATTAACAAAAAGAGTAACCCGCGATTTTTAGTTAATTTAGTACCTATGTATGTCTCACGATAGTCTTTATAAAAACAGGTAATTAAAATGTATACTTATGGTATGTGATGTTTTGAGAACTTCTTCTTCTTTAGTAGCAAAGTCTTCTTATTTACGTAGATACAATATACGATGGACTATATAAAGAAATATATTAGTAGATGTGAGAAATGTTGATGAGCATTACATTTTGACTTCTTATCTGGTCCAAAGTTTCTTTAGAAACATTAAAACTAAGACTGAAATTAAGTACTATTGTAAAAACTAATAATAAACCAATTGGTAATACCAATAAGATAATTCTTCGATGAAATATTTATAATTACAACTGCTATGTTGTTATAGTCTTGGAACAAATCTATTAACGAATGAATCGTCGACAAATAAATAAATGAAAATCAATAATATCAAAGTGAATTAATTTCAAAGACTCAACAAAGCCGTTTGTCATTAAAACATCTTAACAAGGTTCAACATTTGAACGAAATCAAACCCCATAAAGACATTGGCATCGATTTTCATTGAATTATAATATTATTTTACTGACTGCGTTATTTGTGATGTAGCTTATTACTGAGTTTTCCAATTGAGAACACAGTTTCATTTCTGCATGATATAATTCTTTTCTTTTAAACATTGCCCCACACTAGGATTTTCTCCTGTATCGTGGGTGTGTGTGGATCACATAAAGGGTTGTTTCGTGCAGGAATCGAACCCATGACACGTTGCGCGGTAGTCAGTTGCCCAACTATCGCGCCAAGTGACTTTTTATAATCTACTAATTGTTCTTTCGGTTTTGGGTGCGTCGTAAATATGAAACCACTGTAAAATGCGCTAGAAAATCCAAGTGTATCCAATCCTTACTAATACTATAAATCGGAAAGTGAGTTTGTTTGTTTGTTCCGACTTCACGCCGTAACTACTAAACCGATTGCATTGAATTTTTGCAGACGTAAAGTTAGTAGTCTGGATTAAATAATAGGGTACTTTTTATTCCGAAAAATTTGATATTCCCGAGGGAAAACAAAAGTATTGGTATAGATGGCGCTGTATGTATTGGTATATGTCACATAGGCTACTTTTTATCCTTTTGTGACGCGAGCGAAGCCGTGGGTAAAAGCTAGTACAAAATAAAAATAAAAATTCAAATGGCTGTTCAAATTCAAATGCATATTGTGTCTTATTTGTACTAGGTGTAAGTTTAGCTCTAGCCTAGTATCACTGTAATATACCCGTGGAGTATATAATCTTTATTTATGACATATGTCAAAAAAGCAAATTCGATGTTGTAAATATGGAAAGATAATCATTAAAACTAGACTGCTTCGTTGGCCGAGTGGTCGCAAGTGTAACTGATGAGCAAGGGGTCTCGGGTTCGATTCCCGGGTCGGGCAAAGTAATACTGGGTTTTTAAAACGTTCAGTCACGGAGTCTGGAAATGTGCCCAGTATATGGCAATAGGCTCACTCCCTATTACATGGGGCTCATAACATAAATAGGGAAAAGTGGGTGTTACATTGTACAGTGGCATTGAGTGCCGTAATGTGCACCTGTGCCTACCCCTTCGGGGATAAAAGGCGTGATGTTATGTTATGTGTTAAAACCAGCCCCAAAATGTATCACATCTTCATCAAGTATAGTAATTTTCATTTTATTTTATATACATATAAACGCCTGGTCTGGGTTATTTTCGTGAATGTTCAAAGGTTGAGCTATTTTTACACAGATTGTATTATTTACGCGATGTCGGTATGATTATACGATTTTGTAAGCATTCAGGGTCGTAGTCTGGTAATCGATATTTTTTGTAATATTTGATTGCGTATTTGCTCATTCGTAATATGAAATTTTATTAAATGATTTATGAAATGATTAAAGATTGAATAAAAATTCAAGTCATTTATTTAGTTAATTGTATTTTGAAGGATCTACTAACTTCTAAGATTTTTGTAAGGACAAAATATGAACTAATTACCTATGTTTACTTAATTCATTTTAAACACAACCCTTATCCTAAAGTCATAACTCATAAGTCACAATTACAGATCAATTAATTAAAATATTAACATTACATATTAATTAACTGCCTCGTTGGCCGAGTGGTCGCAAGTGCGACTACCGGGCAAGGGATCCCGGGTTCGATTTCCGGGTCGGGCAAAAGTATTACTGGGTTTAAAAAAAATCTCAGTAGTAGCACGGAGTCTGGAATTGTGCCCGGGATATGGCAATAGGCTCACCACCTATTACATGGGACTCATAACATAATTAGTGAAAAGTGGGTGTTACTTCTTTTTACACCTCTGCCTACCCCTTCGGAGATAAAAGGCGTGATGTTATATATTCATTAATTAATTAATTAACAGACTCATTAATTTTAGAATTAGAAGACATCAAATTAAATTTATCTACTGAATATTTTGTCTTAGAAGTCGCTTGCAAGGACTCGCTCAGAGACGCAGTTAAATAAAATAAGCCAAGAAATAATGAGTCATCCCTTCAAACTTTGGAATTAGCTATTGACTTTCACCCCGATCGGCTTCCATTAGAAAGTCGATCCCTTGTTAATTGCTTGAGAAGTTTCCAATACAAAGGAAAATGTCTATTTTTTGCATCGGCTTTATTAAATGCGGCTTCATTATTTTCCTTTAAGGTTGTGTTTTGGAAAATTATCTCTATTGCGTCTTGATTAAATTAAGTTTTTGCTTGATTCGATCTTTAATTACGCTACTGTATTTAAAATTCAATATATAATTCTTTACCCAACCAGATATCCCTTACATGGAAATGAAACTTATGGTCCCTTATCCCATATAATGAGACAGTCAAAAGCTATCGGTAATAAATATTATTAAAATTTTGTTGACTGACTGCAATTATTGCACCAACCTGCTCATAGACATTGAAATTTTAATTGCATTAAGGCTTAAGGCTTGCTAATGAGTATAAAGTTTCATATACCTGGAAATGGCCTACAAAATTATAGATTTTATAGGTATTGACTTCACTGACTGCTTCGTTGGCCGAGTGGTCGCAATTGCGACTGCCGGGCAAGGAATCTCGGATTCGATTCCTGGGTCGGGCAAAGTATTACTGGGCTTTTTCAAAAAATCGCATTAGTAGCACTGAGTCCCGAATTGTGCCCGGTACATGGCAATAGGGGGTGCCCTATTTCATGGGGCTCATAACATAAATAGTGAAAAGTGGGTGTTACATTGTACAGTGGCATTAAGTGCCGTAATGTACACCTTTGCCTACCCCTTCGGGGGTAAAAGGCGTGATGTTATGTTATGTATTGACTTCAATAATTGACTAAAAAGATAGACGTACTTTTTTACTGTAGAGTAAATGGGTTTTATCGACTGCAACATACTTTATGAAATAAAGTACCTACCTACTGATCGATCGTCATACCCTGACTTATTTGTATTTATCCCATTACAAAAAGTATTCTTTACGATGATTTTAAAACTTTCTAACAACTGTCTCATATTTTAGGTACGAAATAAACGCAGTACCATTACATCAAAAGTCAAAAGACAGCGATTGTGAGCAATCAGAAGCATCAAGTATTGCTACATCGACAAAAGTGACGGACTTGAAGATCGGAGTGGCTAGCTTCTGCAAGGCATTCCCTTGGCATTTCGTCACTGACAAACGGCTGGAACTTGTGCAATTAGGTATGTATTTCTTTATATATTTTGTTATTCAATATTATGTTTGATTGTAAGTCTGGCACAGTGGTTGGGCAACTGGGTCAAGCATAATATGTCGCGGAATATATATTTGTAGTAGTTGACTGCGATAGAGTATTTGCACTGAGAGGTGCACTTCTGAGCGCTTGTGTTGTGCCCGGTATATGGCAATAGGCTCACCCCGTATTACATGGGAGTCATAACATAAATAGTGAAAAGTGTTTTTTTTTAAACGTTGCCTGCCCCACACTAGGATTATTTCCTGTGTCGTGGGTGCGTTTACAAACATACAAGTTCACATACACATGACACCCAGACCCGAAACAACAATTTGTGGATCACACAAAGTGTTGTTCCGCGCGGGAATCGAACCCGCGACACGTTGCACGGCAGTCGGTTGCCCAGCAACCGCATCAATCGTGCAGTCTATGTATTGTATTACATTGTAGTCTGGGTATTACATTGTACAGGCAGGCAGAGTTATAATTGGCATTAAGTGCCGAAATGTGCACCTCTGCCTGCCCGTGATGTTATGTTAATTATTTGTGTGATCGACAAATTGTTAACCAACATCAAACAGAGGAGGTTCTCAATTTGACCTGTATGTAGGTATATTTGTGTGCAATTATCTCGCCATTGGCTGAACCGATTTAAATGTGGTCTTCAGAAAAGTGTTTGTTACACTTAGGAGAAGGGTTCGCCCCTCGGAATCGTTGTTTCACGTTGGTTTTCTGTGAGGTATCACTGGTATCACAGGTTTCTGTATCACTCCGGTCGAGCCGACCCATGTCATTCATAACAAGTTATGTTCTTATATAGTTAGGTTCGTAACTAAAATGTAGATAGATAGCATAATGCACTTTCCATATAATAATAATAAAGAATAAAATCGTCTACACTGTACCTAACTGCATTAAGAGAAATAAAAGTGTTCTACAGAGTAGTGACTTAGGAAAGGACCTCATAAATTGGCATTTAGAAGTATATTTATGGTTCTGTAAATCAGACCCGACTAAGTAAAAGCTTCTGGAATAGGGAAAAGAATATTTAGAAGTTCAATAGTACTCGACTTTCAAAATTCTATACGAATTTAATGTTTTAGAGATTTTCTTCGCAATCTACGGAATTCTAAAGTGACTGGCTTGACTACTGAATTGCACACAAAACGTTTTATTGAGATATTTTGGTCATTTCAGTAGTAATACGAAATCTGATATAGTATCCATTGTATGGTAGTAACCTAAAGCCAAGTATACACTAGGACACGAGTAGCCAGCGATGTCGGGTGAAGTAGCGCGACGTTGTCGGACTTTAATCGACACGTCTGGCAACATCAACGTCACTGTGGACATAATTTGCGCGTTGTCATCGTATATGTCAGGCGACATCGGCCGGCTTCGCTCGACATGTTGCCAATACATATCTTAGGACATTTGTCCCCCTAGTGTATCCTAGCTTAACAATCCAAAAAGTCGTGGTGGCCCGGAGGTTTAAGACGCCTTATGAGAGTGCGAGCTCGAAACCTACCAACGCCAAGTACCAATGTGACTTTTTCTGAGTTTTATACACGTTCTGAGATTATCTAGACATCATTGACTCGCCAAACCGCAGTTAGCAAGTCTGGCGGTTAATGCTCAAACCTTCTCCGTGCGAGTAGAGGCTTGGTCAGCAGTGGCCACTTATTAGCTGATGATGATGATTGCTGATGAAGTTAAAAATTGTGTGGCACATAAAACATACCACAAGGTCACGCCGCTTAATCCCTAAAGGGATTTTTTTAAGCGGGGAAAATTTTCGAATGTCTGCTCCCGCCTGGGTGAGGCGGAAGGGAGTGTCAGACTCTTACTGACTAAAAACCACCCCGTTTCTACTCCTGCACTTCGAGCCGGAGCTCCGGTAACCCGTTAGGTTCTCCACGGCTCCGTATCGGCATCAGCCCTATTTCCCCCCTGAGAAAAAAATACCTAGAAGCCATTTTTAAAGCCTAAGATGGTATACGTCTTTTTACAATACATGTGCAGCTAGAAAAATCTTCACAATTTCTGCACTTCAACGGATATTATAAAGTGAAAAAGATCACGAATAGTTTCGTACAATTTTTCATATGAAGCGTTTGTCTGCGAATAGAATTCTATAACGGTCGCTCTGGAAATAGAGCTTGACCTAGAGTGGGGAATATTATTTATTTACACATTGCTGATTTATGTTCTGCGGACGTTGCATTTATTACGTGGCTGGATTACGTTGGCAACTGATATTTTTTGTACGTATACAAGTATAGTTGAACACAATGGAACATTTTTAGGAAAGCCTGTTCTAAGAGTTATATAAATTTGTAGTTGAATTCTAATGTCGTAGTGGCCCGGAGGTTTAAGACGCCCGCTTCTCATGCACGAGGGTGCGGGTTCAAAACCTACCAACGGCAAGTATCAATGTGACTTTTTTTGTGTGTTTGTCTGTGAATCACGCTTTACTTTTTGTCCCGATGAAATGCTGCCATCGGATAAAACAGGAGTCATATTCGACGCGGATGAAGTACGGGCAACAGAGAAGTAGTTAAAGCATAATACAAGAAGAACCATCATCACTATCATCGTTATCATCAACAACAGCTTATAGTACCTACTGCTCAGTACTTACTCAATGCTAGACGAATAATAAAATAATGACTCACAGTAGCTATAAAATGAAGAGTAAAATAAATTGTGGTTTAGTTTCGACATGTTCACAGAGTATCTTGGTCAAATTAAATGAATTTGTGTCAAAAATCCATGGTCTATTATGTGCCCCAGTTATTATAAATAAAATTCAAAGTATCTCACAAAAATAAAACCTAAAATTGTAGCCAATTTATTACAAACCGTATTTCAAGTAATATAAAGTCCATTAATTTAATTTCACCTCTTCTCGTTTATACTCCACTGGCCATGGTAACTAGTCCCCAATGGTTTGAGATTTACTCGGTAAAGACATTAATTATTTATTTCTCCCACGGGATTTCTGCTTCTATAATTTCTTCAATGAGGTTATTCGGAAAAAATCCGTTTGGGATTCAAATGAATAATGTTCAAATGCCAGGCTTTGTTTAAAGTACCACCAAGAATCAGTAATTAATTTAAAAAGGGTCGTTGGAAAAGTTCGTACGAAATCGTTTATCAGCTTAATCTTTTTGAATAAATTTGTATTTTAAGGTCATGAATATTTGACTTTTGATTCTAGAAAAATCGTTTAGAAATCCTTTATTAAATTAGTTGTGAAATTGGTTTAATTATTCGATGAATTGAATGTAATTTTCTGAGATTGAAATTGAATAGTGTAACGCACACGGCGAGCCGAACATAGCCGAGCTAGGCTTCGCTCGCGCTTGCGCACTCGTCGCATCTCCGCACGACCAACGTGCGAATCTTCGAGAAAAAGTCAACACGCATGTGCGAGACGCACGTGACCCGCGACGTTCAAACAAGCGAGAGGCGGCCGTCACACAGCTCTGCATAGTTTTTTCAATTTATTTCCCTTAATCCCAGTTGGAAAAAATTATTTTACGAGTTTTTTTTTTTAAGATTACAGTGGCGCCCAACGTGGGGCCCGAATCACGAAAATACTACATTGAGTATTACTATGCCAAACACACGAGCTATGCGCGCTGCTAAAGCCGCGCTCGACGCGGACATCCAGCCGAGCGACGTCAGCGACCGCGAAGATTATGACGAGGCTACGGAGCAGAGCCCTGTACGGGCCCCCGAACCTGTCCCCGCGTCTGAACGTACCGGCGCCAACGCTAGAACAACGGACACCGAAATGTTGCTAGCTAACATGATGGAATCATTCGTCAAGATGCAAGCTGAGACCAACAGGTGCCTGGTGGAGACGCTGAGGGCGTTGCCAGCGGCCTGCGGCCCATGGCAATCGCCGCTGCCGGCATCAACACCGACGCTGAACGCTACCACTACAGGATCGTCTGGGAACTTCGCCAAATGTACCGCACGGTTCAACGGAACTTCCCGTGAACCACAGGTGCTGGAAGCATTCATCGACGCTGTCCAAGTGTTTAAGGAGTGCGCGGACGTGAGCGATGATCACGCGCTGCGGGGGCTCCCGATGCTGTTGGAGGGCGACGCCGCCGTGTGGTGGCACGGCGCCCGCAACACCGTCGCTACGTGGAAGGACGCCGTGCTACGACTTCGCGCCATGTATGGTACGCCGAAGCCGGCGTATAAAACTCTACGTGAAGTTTTCAGCCAAGAACATAAACACGAACGTGCTGAAGTATATGTGTGTAGAATTAGGTCTCTATTAGTAAAGTTACCGTACGTAGTGCCAACACCCATGCAAATAGATATAATTTACGGGTTGTTACACCGTCGTGTACCCAAAGCACCGCTAATTAGTTTGCAGCGCTACACATCGACACTACTGTCATTTACACAGTGTACATGTGTGGGTAATTTCATATTACTGTGTATAAAAATATTCGTCCACCACGTTCACATTGGTATTTTCATTCTTGTGTCGGTATACGTATTTTTATAATTTAATGCATAGGTAAGGTTAAAACTATTTACAGTCATTGATATGACCCGACATTTTTACTGTCATTATCGTAGTGCTCGTGGTCGATTGGTTAATGAGCACGCTTTTATCGTCTTTCAAGGATCAATGATGTGGGTTCTATTCCAGCTAAAAGTTTATTTTATATTATGTTATTTTTCTTAATTTTTTTTTGTTTTTTGTCATAAAATATAAATATCAGGCTATAAAAGAAGCAAATGAGTCGGTAAATAAAACAATACTATTTTTTATTACAATTAATTTATTTATTATACAAATATGTGGTTTTATATTCAATATTTATATTTAATAATTAATTATATACCACATGTTAAGTTTAAAGTTCTTTAAATCACTATTTTATTTATTTAATTAATTTTAATTACATTAAAAAATATAAATAAAAGATATTATAGGTATAAATAAATCTAAAGTAT